GTCCCGGCTGGGACGTGTGTGGGTGTGCGTGTGCGTGTGCGCCTGAAAAGCTGTCGGAAAATGGCTTTGTCCCTCTGTGTGTGTGCGTGTGTTTTTTTCTTCTTCTTCTTCTTTTTTTTTTTTTTCTTGTTCTTTCAAATACGTTGGTTTTGAGAAGGTCGATGTTTTTTCTGTTTGTAGAACTTATACACAACACAGCGTTTCTTCTTTGAATGCAGGTGATTCACCAAACGACCAAAAGAGGCCTGATGGGGGGTTTGAGAGGAAAACAGAGAAAAAGTCCGAAGCCTTGAACATCAGAGGTACAGTGATGGGTTCATAAGACTAATATTATATGAACTGTAAATACTTTCTGGTTTCCACTTCGGGTTATTTTTTTTCAAATGTCAGCAAATATTAGAGCAAAAAACCCAGGAATTTTCTATGTATATGGATCCACTTGTCTTTAAAAACAAAGGTTTCGGTTGTGTGAAGTTGCATGGATGAGAATAACAAAATAGGGTGATGCTGATTTGAACCACGTGCTGACTTAGTTCTTTCGGGGTGTTCATACTTTGATTTTAATCCTTCAAAAAAAATTGCAGGTGCACCTTTTGGCAAGGATGCAAAGCCTCTTGCACTAGGTTCCAGTCACTAGAGGCTTTGCAAGAAGATTAAGCACCCATCTGTGAGGCGCTTCTTTGAGTACCACTGCTTTAGTAGTCAAGCAGTTTTCAACTTTTACATGCTTTTGGGCAGAAAAGAGAGTTTCTTTAAATCACAAGGTTAGTAATGTTATCGTAGTCAACACAAGGAACAGAGTGCTGCAGACTGAAACCCTAGCAGGGTGTCTTTGCAGGTCCTTGAACTGTGAACCACTCCCTGAGAGAGTCTGTTACAGAGTCAGCCCTTTTACGATAACGAATTCAGCAGATCTCTGGCTATCTGCTGAGGGAAACAGTAGGGCTACTTTTAGGAATCGATTAACCAAAATCTCCATGTATTTGTGTAGGTGTACGTATTTACATACATATTCCAAACAGGACCAAAATTAGGTATCTTTGAGTATATTAAACAGTAACTTTGTTCTTCAATGAAAGGACTGTTACAAAGCTGTAACAAGATTAGTAGTTTAAGGTTTCTTATGGACACACATCAGCCTCTGAGAAGGTGTGATATTCCTGTAAAGTCACGTAGGTGTCATCACATTAATTCAACGTAACAGGTGGACATGGCAGTCAGGCACCTGTTTTTAGTGTATGCGTAAAGATTTTCAGAAGTCTTTCAAAAGAGATGTGTGTGCATGAGGAGGAGAGGACACTTTGCAAGCTGAACCGCATGCTACAACAATGACTGAATATCTAGGAGCTGCTGTCAGTGGATTTTATGTCAGTGTTCAGGCAATTGTACTGGAGCAGGACAAGCAATCTGTCATTTTCAGGGATGCAGAAGGGAAGGAGAAAACCAAACAATGAGTATATTTTAGAGAAAGCCTTATTTGCCTGAATGGCAGTGCTTTGGCATAGTGATGTTGGGAAACTAGTAAAAATGTCTGAAGGATAAGGAGTTTTGTATTAGTTATTTTAAGATCCCTGTCCTCATTTATTTTAAAAAGAGATTTTTTCTTTAAGCGCTGTTTAAAGTATGTTGTCTTTGTAAAATCTACCCATTCTTATCATCCTTAGTAATATTCCTTGCTGCTTTGGCCAGTATTACAGATAAGTCTCTCAAATTCTGCTTGACTCAAAATCTATGCTTTTTTTCTTCTGCTGCTGGAAGTTAGTTACATAGCTACCCTTAAAACTTCATAATGATCTCGTAAAAAATGATGTACTTTTTAGAATTAATCTCTCCGGGGAAAACGAAGCTGAACAAAATGGACTGGCAGAGAAACTTCTTCCTTGATTTTAAAATGATAGGAACAGAGGTTCAGACATTCTGCCTACCTGCATTAATTATTATACTTTTTGCTTCATGGACATATGCAGAGTAGTAGCCTTAGATTATCTGGCATTGATCCAAATTAAATATTTTCATAAAAAATATTTTCACTTTGATAGTTTCAAACACAAGCTATATCTATGGGTTATCTGTGGTATTATCATAGTGACTTTATTTAATAAAAATGTATTTTCAGTTCTGTTTTATACTCACAGCTTCTTGGGATCTTTAGGGAAATGGGTTCACTTTCTTCTGGGCCCTCATTAGGTGAGACATAATTAAGACACATATAGTAACCATGTTAATTTTGCATGTCAGTTAAACAAGCATTTTCCAAATTCTGTCTTCGCAATTCATGGTTTATCAAAATTGTGACACATTTGTAACTTTTTTTTTATCAGAAAAAGTCTTTATGGAACGTTTTCTTACTCTTTTTAAGTTATGCTCTTTCAATCAGTTATTTTAGAGATTGTGTTTTGCCTGTTCCGCTTCTCAGAGTTAACATGGTGAAATCCAGATTACATATAAATAAAAAGAAATGCTGCAACAGTGCTGCAACACGCAAAACAGTATGGGAGTTTGTCAGTCGGACAAAATACTCCTGACTCTAGCAGAAAGAGCTGGATTCATTGAAAGTTTGTACTTTCTTATCTTACACAAATGATCCCAGGAACTCTTAATGATTATTGCTTTCATTTTGCACACAGAGGATCAGTGTTCAGGCGCCGAGCTGGCAAGGAGCAGCAGGAAGGGCAGGGCTCTAAGTCTGAAGAAATTCAGTGCCTAGCATCACTGAAGGGTCAAAACTTGCTTAGCCGAGTTGTTAATGTGCTTCAGAGGGAGCCGGCTGCATCTTTTCTAGTCCAGAGGAAGGGATTAAATTGGAGTGAAGCCTCTGAAAGTGATGTTACAGGGATGTTAAAGGGAGGTGGCCCGTTTTAGTCTCTCATGTACTCCAAATGAAAAGGAAAATGCTGACGAAGGAGTTAACTTTATATATTTAGAGGCACTGCAAATTGAGCATGGGTTGAAGTGGAATCTGGGTATGAATCGTAAAGGCTGACAAAACTGGAGTGCTTTCTAGTAATGACAGGAAGGGGAAAGGCTATTCAAAGTAGTAAAAAAGCAATGAAGGGTCTCAGATTATTGTAACCGTTTAGCAAGAACATTGCTTGGTCATTATAGTTCAAAGTGTGACTACAGATGTTATTCCCAAGACCCTCTCTTGTGTCTTTTCGTTACCTTGAGTGCGAAGACATATGTACAGATGTAAAAAGTTGTATGAAGCGTTCCTCTCCTCTTAGAGTGGTACCGGCACATAAAAAAAAATTTCAGACCAAATTCTGATCTTCTTTGAGCCTGAAGGCTAATGGCATTGGTGGGGCAAAGATTAGTTTGACAAGTAATCAAGCTTAATCTAAAAATCAGAGTTTGGGGCGTTTGGAACCATAAGACTGAATGCTCCTTAGTTTACCTCAGGTGATTTTTCAGATTTCAACAAAGTCACAGAAGCTGAGAGAGGAGAATAATTATTACTTATTAGGGATGGTTTGTGGCTCCCTTAGCTTCCAGGATAGAACTGATAGATTCAGTCATTAATTTTAATTGAGAATGCCATTTACATGAGCCAGGGTCTCTTAATAATTGGCAGACATTTAAGCAAGCACATTTTACGTTGCCATGGTTTTGCAGTTGGACCACAGTTGCTAGCATACCCTAAATGTTTAATAATGCATCCCACTCACAGAGCCGTGGTTCAGAGTCAGTACTTCCCTTTCTTTTGTGTTCTGAAAGCTGTTATTGAAAACTTTGCTTCTAGCGCTGAAATACACTACTTTCATGTAAAGTAAAATAGATTTGAAAAGTGTAGCATTTTGTTACAAAACAAACAATGGGTAAAAGACTAATATAAAGCTTTATTGTCATTTGTTTTAGGTGTTCTTTTGCATGTTATGGGAGATGCACTTGGATCTGTGGTCGTGGTAATTACAGCTACAATCTTTCATATACTTCCTCTGCGGGCTGATGCTCCATGTAACTGGCAGTGCTACATCGATCCAAGCCTGACTGTAATTATGGTGTTGATCATTTTGTCTTCTGCATTCCCGCTTATCAAAGAGACCTCGATTATTTTGTTGCAGATGGTTCCCAAAGGTGTTAATATGCAGCTACTGAGTAAGTCAGATTTGTTGTTGAAATGCTATTAGTTTTAATGATATATTGCAATGCACATGTTGTTTCTGGAATGACATGTTTGGATTATGTACTCATAACAGCTCTAAATTCTCAAGAACCGTAAGAAATAGTCACATGCCTGTGTCCTAGCAACATGACTCAAATCTCTTTGGATTAGTTAAAGCATGCATTTTGAGAATGTGGTACTCCAGCAATACACAAAAAATACCAGGTCTGGAACTGTTAATGCTTTGTGCAGGGTGTTTGTGAAAGAAACAACATCGAATTTTAATATTTCCCAACCCTGCAGTGCTTCCTTCTAAAGACTTCCGAAATACCTTAGAAATTTCAATTAAGAGCAGTTAATTATCCAGTGTGAACGATGCCAAGCTGTCTGGCATTGTTCACTTTGGATAATTATGGTAGAACATTGTCTATTTCTGGAATCCCGTCGTGCTCAGGACTAAGCAGACCAGAAGATGGAGGCCTCAGCCAAGAAAATGGTGGTCTTGCGTTGAATTGATACTCTACAAGCTGCTGATTAATTGCCGCTAGGGAGCCAGAGAGAGAGGGTGAAGCCAGAAGGCCTGGAAGGCCCTGCTCGTGTGGTCACCGCCAGTCTGAACTAAGTCAGCTGGGAACAGAAGTACTGATAAAATGCAGCTCTTTTTTAAAAGACACTGCTCTTTTCAGATAAGGTTCTTCATAAGAATGAAACAGCTAGTAACTAGCCCATACACCAAACCATCTAATAACTTTTTCTTATGTTTTCCAGCTGACAAACTAGCTCATGTACCAGGGGTTAGCAGCCTTCATGAGGTGCATGTCTGGGAGCTTGCAGGTGGGAAGAATATTGCTACTCTTCATGTCAAGTGCCAAACCTCTACTGATTACCAAGATGCTGCTTATAAAATACGGAAGGTTTTCCATGAAGCAGGGATCCATTCAGTGACCATCCAACCAGAGTACCTTGACTACAAGACCTCCCAGCTCCTGTGCAGCTCACCCTGCATCTCAAAAGCCTGTGACTCTCAGCTCTGCTGCAGTCAGCAGGAGACATCGCTCCCTCAAGCCAATGGCTATGCTGAGAAAAATGATAGTGGCCTTTCTGCACCGCATAAAGACAATAGTTCAAGTAAAAATGATGTTGAAATCCCTATTGAGTACCCACTGACAGAGGATAGTGTTAAAAACATGAAAAATTGTACAATGTCTGATAACAAATCACAGCTGAGCAGTACACGATTTTAAGCAGTTCACTCTGCATAATCTTCCCATAGAACAAGAATATCCTGGCGGAAAAGTGGGCCGTCGCAGGTTGTAGCTGAAGTTGGTGTCGCAAAAAAAAATATGTGCTTTAGCCGTCAACCAAAATACACTTAAACTCGTATCTGAAATAAGGATTAATATTTTCATGAAGAGTCTTGCATTCATCTAAGATTTTCCTGATACAGCCTAACACAGTTCCTTATGAAACTACGTGTGCACTTCTATTATTAGGGCGAATCAGGTGTATTGCTGTCTACACTGATGCTTGCAGTTTATGGCCAGTGGCACTACGAATTAAACTCGGGCTTTTCTACTGAAGTGGGCTGTTTCCTGAAAGCCCTGTAGTGAGTTAATGACTGTACTGGGCTGAAGCACTGTATTTTTGTAAAGGACTTTAGTAGAGATGTTTTACTGATCTGTAGAGCCCATTTTGCATAGCCAGGAGTTCATTTTTGACAGTAACTCCTGTGCTTCTCTGCTGTGAGTTTGTGAATGAGGTTAAGAGCGTCTAATGGGGAGAGCAAGCACTCAGGAATTTTTAACTTGTGTTATTTTCTTGATTGACTTCTGTGTTCAGGGACAGACCAGAAGCTGATCCTACTCCTCTACTACTAATCTTGGAGTCTTAGCTTAATTACAGATAAGAATATACTTCCTGTCATGAAAGCTAAGGAATGCTTCCTAGCTAATACTGTCTCTACTGATTCTAGTAAACGAAAATGCAGGCAGTCATCAACTTCTCTTGTTCACTGTTGTGATTATACAACTCCGTCCTTTTTTCTTTTTCTTGACAATATATAAGAGCCACAGTCTTAATTCATTATCATGTGGAATGACTGCAGTATCGTTAACACTGAGTGTCTATCATTATTCATGCGGAATAAATAAGCTAATGTATCTATCATGAATAATTAAAATTCTGCAATTCCATTCTATCATTAAGACACAATTTAATATTGCATTAATTAAGAAAGTCCCTTTAAAATTTTATACGCAGCGTTACCACTTAAAGGGAGCCTTTTAGAGTACTGGGAATTTGTCCTGTTTTGATCTAGATTATCTCTTGTTGATTCACTTTCAACATTTAAGTGCCCCCCACCCTCACCCTAAGGTATATTTCGGTGTATTTAGTGAAGCAGTTCCATTATCCTTTTTGCTACTGGTACTTTTTGGAGACATGCTAGGGTGCTTAAGGAAAACAAGGTGACACCGGTGTTGGGATTTAGGTCAGGTCTGTTCTCCAGGCTTTCAGTAGAGGAGAGCCGGTACCGAGTCCTCACGGGGCAAAGTGCATGGCCTCACCCAGCTAGGCAGATTGGCTCCAGAAGCTTTCAGATGCATTTTGCTATCCAAAGCAGCCTTTCTATGCTGCGTGTAGCCTGGACGAGCTATTTATTTGTTTACAAGGACACCTTTATAAAATAGCGGTGTCTTTACCTCAGGGGCACCTTAGTAGAAAGGGCAAAAAGATTTCCTAACCGGGCTGGGAAAATACCAGAGCCTCCTTGTAAGGCTGTCTTGAAAGTAGCCAACTCCTTATTAATAAGCATGATTACATTAAGTCAATGCATAATGAGAGACACAGCAGGATATTTTGCTGCTTGGTAAATGATGTTTACTGAAGGAATGATTGCAATCTAAATAACGCTTTTCTAGATCTGTCTTTACCCCTTTTGAGCAGATTCTTGGGTAAATGAGTACATTTTAATAACCTTCCATGGTAGGTTTGTATTAAATATGTTAAACTATATGTTAATAGCACTAAAAGCTTGATCCTGCAGTCTCTTTGACCCTATTGGCAGCAGTAGAGGTGAAAGCAGCAGGATTTTGCTTCAGAGTTGAACAAATTAATGTAAATCAGGAAATATTATAAAAATTACTGTGCCATTTAAGTGTATGGCATGAGGTAAGAGAGCCCTTGCTTCCCTTCTGTTTTTTTAATCTTTTTTTACATTCAGCTATGATTATGTTTAAATGTAGGTTTTTAGATCTATAGAACGTATTTATAGGGTCCTGTGCTTTTTTTTCTTCTTCTTTTCTTTGAGAACTGGAAGAGAAGGCTCCTAAAATAATAGCAAAGTCTATGGGGGAACTCACCTCCTGCTCAGCTCCCAGATAGTCTTTAGAACAAGCACCCTTTCAGACTTGTGCATTTGTGTCTTAAGTCAGGCAGCCTTTTTCTGTGTAAAATGGTTGAAAGATTTAATGGCGGTATTGTTTTACTCTGGAATTAGAAATATATAATGTTGGGGTATTTGATAAAATGGATCATCTTTTTCTTTAATCTTCCAATATTTCTTTAAACAGTGGTTATCTATTTCTTAAGTATTTGAAAGTGTTGTAACCTGAACATACAATGAAGTAAGATTCTTAAACTTTTTTGCCTGTCTGGTTGAATGTATTATAATTATGAACTGAATGTACTGTAGCCTGTGAATAAATAGGAAAATACCAGGGGTTATAGAAATCTTCGGGTCTAGAAGACAAATATATTTCAAACTGCTTTATTGCATCAAATCTGTTCAAATTACTTAGGCAAGCAAGCAAAACCAATAGAACTAAGTTCCTGGATAGGTGAACCTTGCTTTTTCTGTGGAGGGACTTCTGTGGAGGGTATCCCACAAAGGTTCCTGTCGCAGTAGCTTTGCCTTCCGTTGAGTCCTACAACAATTTTTTTTCTCCTCTGATTTTAAATGTGTCAAAACTAGGCTCTACTGGACGGTCCCTTGCTACTTTTGTAGAAGATATCATTCCACTCACTGTGTACTTTTTATTGGCTAATTTCCCTTAAGTTCTTGGCATATTTTCTCTGATTCTTTTGGACTATGTTTACCTCATTTTGAAATATATTTCAATATTCACCCTAATCTAGGGCACTTGTTCTGGATTCCGTTTTGTAGCATATTACATTTTCATAAATTCTTTTTTTGGCCTCTTTAACCTCATTGCTTTCTTCTCGCAGTTCAATAATGTAAAATTTCTGATTATTGCCATTAGTCGTGCTACCCTGTTCTCTTCTTCAACATTTCCTTTCCGCTTGCACCACTGTGGCATTCAGTTTCTCTTGCAGTTTCCCTTTTATGCCCATCGCTGTTATCTGTAGCAAAGGAAGTCTGCTTAAAACGCAGGTGACTTTGAGCCAGTTGTTCAGCTTGTGTGGCCCTCTGATCCATAACCAGGCACACATGTGACCTAGTCATATGAGCATGACACACTTGCTAGCCTAGGCAGATAGTGTTTGGACTAAGAGCAGGAGCTGGGATATATTAACATGACATCATTGACTGCAAAAGCAGTTTACTGGCCTTCATCAGTCGTGGGCCTTTTGTTGTCACTTTTTCATACGTTGTCCTTTGACCAAACATACCAATCTGACTTTTAATTTTTCATTCTTGTGTATCTCTGTTAATGCAACTCTTGCCTTTGCTCTTCTTTCTTGTCGTGTTATTTTTAGCAGTTTCCTTTGCTCTACCAAGTTTTATTTTGGCTTGTAGGGCAACCATTTTTCTTTTTAAAATTTTTCGTTATTCTTTGTCTTTTCATAAAGACCGTAAGGTTTTGCTAGCCTTCTGGTAGGTTATGTGTCTATATACAGTTTACAAATACCTCTTTTATGCACTATTTTAATGACCATATTTACTTCTACCTGCTCTGCATTTTTGTTTGTTTGTTTTTTTCTTGTTTCTTCACTCCCTCACTCAATTATAATGTTCACCTTCGTGAACGTTACCTTTTGTTCTGAACTTTTGAAGGTAACATGCTGGCGTCCATATTATCCCTGAGGTGAAATTCACTGCCCATGGGGGTGAATAGCATGGCTTGATGTGAGCTACCCCAAGGGCTGCTTTACGTCCTTTGGACAATGTGGAAGAGCTAAGTGGTCAGCCTGATATATGGCCTTTGAATTCCTTATGAGCATTCCACCTGAACCTGCTTTTACAGAAAGCTGGTTTCTAAACCTGAGAAGGTATAATGAAATCAGTAGAGTTCGTTTAGTCAACACCTTTGGGGAAAATTTGGATCAGTAATTGGATTGTAGGTAAAAGGGGCATTTCAGAAAAGATAATGAAAATACTATGAAGATTTCTATAGATTCTACTACTTTGCTGTACAGTGGAAGCACTTTCAATGGTAAATACTTTATTTGAACTGTGATACCTTGATATGAGGATGTCACTGTATGAAGTTGTTACATTTACGGAGCTATGTTGCTTACGTTTCCTCCAGGTTTTTCTGTTCATTATGTGATTTAAATAACATGCCAAAATATAATTTCCATGATTGCCGAATCAATGAACTATAAATCTCATTGTGTTTTTGTTAACTATGAGTGGAAAAATTACTTAAAGTTTTATGTACAGTTATATTTTTTTCAAAATGAAGTTTGAATGTGCTGTAAATAAAGTGTATTTTTAAATAAGAATCTGTTGTACTGAGCTTGTAACTCCAGGGTACTAGACAAGGGTGGCTGCAACCTGACGTGGTGTTTGCAGACTGCGGACGCCGTGTCACTACAGAGCTCTGCCAGTTTACGCCTGCTTGCGCTTAACAGCTCTTCTGCTTTCTCTGTTGGGGCTTGCAATGCCGGTCTGCATCTGTCACGTATGTGGGTGTGTGTGAAAGTGTGTCTGCAAGGATGTCAGCGCGTGGAGATCGATACACGTGTGCGTATCGTCGTGCTCAGGAGAGCTTTGCGATTCTTGTGTCTGCGTTTCATGACCTGAACGTGTCCTGACTCCCCATTAGGAAAATTCGAGACGAGCCCTACCTAACGCTGCAAGCTGAGGTGGTTGCTGTTGCCTGAGGTGTTCAGCAATGACTGCTGAGGCTCCCAGCTCCCCCAAAGTGAGCCGCTGCTCCAGGAGCTGCAGTCGTGGAGGGGGTCTGCTGCACTCCTCTCTCCTACCCCATCTTGTCTGATTCGCTGCTTGTTCATACACCTACACATTTCTATTAGCAATGTTCGATAAGAAGCGGGGATTTGTTATGCTTGCTTTTTTTCATCAGGTATGTCTAAATCACAGAGTATGCTCTGTAAGAAATAAGCTGTGTTCTGACCAGTAAGTAACAAGCGGTTATGTGCTTGGGCATTTGTCTCATCTAGGTTAATGTCCCTCAGCCTGTGGCTGCTGGACCAACTGGTGATTCGGAGGACAGAAATTATAATCTATAAAGCAATTGCTCCCAAATAAAATTAAAATACAGTTAAAATCACGCACAGAGTGCACAGTTTTAATGCTAGCATTTAACACTTTCCCAGCTGAATAGGCTGGCATAAGGCACTTGAATTTCCAGGCCTTCTCCTCCATACAGAGGCCCTTATTTTATATCTGAATTCTTCTGGAGCAGGAGACATTTTCCTTGTTAGAAGGCTGCTACTGTTCAGATACTTTCCTAGCCTGCAAGAAACCACAGAACTAAGATGAGTTCGGGCTGGACAAAAAGGCTGCATGTTTAAAAGCAGCTTCTAAAGAAATTCATAATTTTTTTTTTTAAAATATAAATCTAATATTTACATATGCAAAATGTTTATGCATTCAAATTACGATATATAAAATTGCAGTTACTGGGACTTTCAAATGTAATTTTAAACACACACACGTTTGTAAGAATACTTTAGGAGGCCGTTAGATGCTGTGCACTTGTTTGTGAATCCCTGTCTGCTGAGAGCAAATACTTTCTATTTTGGTGGAGATTCTGGTCTGATTCAAGATTATGCTAAGAAGTAGGGAAAAATAACAGTGATTATAAGTGTATGAGTGAATTCTCAGGTGCTCAGGTGAATTCTCTGTTGAATTTAGAAATTTAGAATTTCTGGTTTTGCTATGTGATGTACTTTACGGTTGCAAACTAATTTTTGACCATTAAAATGAAGTTAGGGACTCTTACACTTAGAGCAAGGTGTAGGTTTAGTAAATTTGAGGGCAGGACATACGTGATGAAATGTTGAGGGAAGTTAATGAGATATGCATTGGAGTAAGCCCTCTATCTCTGCAGGTACGCAAGCTTTGCCCTCTTTGACACAAAGATGGAATTTTATTTTGGAGTCCTAACTTTATTTTACAGAGAGTTATTTTGCTATAAAATTCTAGGTGGAGAGGGATAATAGCAATGTTTACCGTTAACTGTCCAGAGAACTTTTGAAGTCTCTAAAGCAGCCCTGCAGGCTTGTGGCTGAACTTGTCTCAGTTCAAGTATGATAAAACTGAAGAGTCCCTTGCAAAGGTGTTTGTCTTGTTTTTTTTTTTTTCCCCTCTTTTTTTCCTTTTAGTGAGATAGCTAACATATTGGTTATCGGATGAGAAAAGCACATTCCCCTGGTCAATGGAGACTGTAATGATGTAGTCTTAGGCATTTGACATTAGATGGATTCAAAATGGGCTGTATGACAGAGCTCAGAGGGTTATGATTAGTGGCACAAAGTCCAGTTGGAGGCCAATAGCTAGTGGCATACTGCAGGAGTCAATACTGGGTCCAATCTGATCAACTTATTCATTAATGATCTGGATGAAGGGACAGAGTGCACCCTCAGCAAGTTTGCTGATGATACTAAGCTGGGAGGAGTGGCTGATACACCAAGAGGGCTGTGCTGCCTGCCTTTCAGAGGGACCCGGACAGGCTGGAGAGCTGGGCAGAGGGGAACCTCCTGAAGTTCAACATAGGCAAGTGCAGGGTCCTGCATTTAGGAAGGAATAACCCCAGGCACCAGTACAGGCTGGGGGCTGCCCTGCTGGCAAGTAGGTCTACAGAGAAGGAGCTGGGAGTGCTGGTGGACAACAAGCTAAGCATGAGGCAGGAATGTGCCCTTGTGGCCAAGAAGGCCAATGGTGTCCTGGGGTGCGTTAGGCAGAGTGTTGCCAGCAGGTGGAGGGAGGTGATCCTGCCCCTCTCTTCAGTCGTAGAGAGGCCACACCGGGGGTGCTGTGTCCACTTGTGGGCTCCAGAGTACGAGAGAGACATGGAGCTCCTGGAGGGAGTCCAGCGAAGGTCTGCTAAGATGCTGAGGGGACTGGAGCATCTCTCCTGTGAAGAAAGGCTGAGGGAGCTGGGGCTGTTCAGCCTGGAGAAGAGGAGACTAAGGGGAGGGGGGTCTCATCAATGTGTCTAAGTAGCTGAATGGAGGGTATCGAGAGGCTGGGGCCAGACTCTTCTCAGTGGTTCCCAGTGATAGGACAAGAGGCAACGGGCACAAACTGAAACACAGGAAGGTCCGTCTGAACACGAGGAAAAACTTCTTTACTGTGAGGGTGACTGAGCGCTGGAATAGGTTACTCAAGAGAGGTTACGGAGTCTCCTTCCCTGGAGATATTCAGAAGCTATCTGGACACAGTCCTGGGCAACCTGGTATAGGTAACTCTGCTTGAGGAGGGGGGTTGGACTAGATGATTTCTAAAGGTCCTTTCCAACCTCAACCATTCTGTGATTCTATGATTTGGGTAACTGAAGTATTATTGTTTGCATCTGTATTAGTAAATTAAACATCTAGGAATATTCCCGAGCACAGAGGCAACTGGCATCAGGAGCTTGCATCTATACTAGTAAAATTTCATCCACTTCAAAAAAGAGTGGCCGCATGCTAATAGTCAGTTGGAAATGGGTCCTTGACTCTGGACTGTGCTGGAGAACTGTATGGGAGACTGCCAGTTGGCACAGGCCATGAAATGTTTGAACCGTTTACTAATACAGTTTCAGTGTTTCAGTGCCTGGAAATGTTCCCAGGGAAATGTTCCCAGGACTGTTCAGTTTGCTAGTATTGATGAAGCCTTCAGCCCCTGAACCTCTGGTCTATTTTTCAAAACGCCAGTACCCACAGACAGAAGAGGAGATGAAATTGTTGGTGCTTTCCTGGCACATGAATAATTGTGGCAGCTACTGGGGCCAAAAGGTCTCCTCTCATTCCATGCCTAACCTGCGATGTATCAGTGTGCAAGGTGAGTTGGGAGGGGAAAGGCTGCCCAGAGCAGTCAGCAGGTAACACTATCATCAAAGCTGCCTGCATGGCTTTGAAAACCAAAAGTGCAAGACAAGCAGCATGTTCGTTATAGCGTTGTACTTTGGTTTACCTGCCTGTTCCACCACTTCTTTTTTTTTCAGTATTCACTCATATTTAAAAAAGCTCTGTATCTGTTTAACCACCTACCATTGACCACCCTGTTGTGAAGAGATGGAAACAGAACTATGGCAAGACACTTTGGAGTAGATATAAAAAAACGAACCCATCAAGACATTTTACAATTCACAATATTATATAGTGACATAGTATGTCCACAGCCTAGTACACAGAAAGTTTTGTATTTAAGGTATTGCATAATTCAGAGGAAGAAAACACATCCTTTTGCAATATAAACCTTAAAAATTAATATTGGGAAAACTATCTGAAGAGCAGAGCCCTCAATTTGTAAAACAAGAAGCACAACAAGTTTCATGAAATCTTGCAGAACAGCACTTGCTCTAAGAAGAGATTTCTCCTTATAATTGTCATATGAGGTATGGATGCTAGTATTTCTAGATACCCTAGTTTTCTTTGTTTTGCTCAGATTGTTTCTGGAAGGTGTTTTCTCATGGCACAAACTGGCCTCAGAGCTCATCAGTGTCTGGGATCTATTCTGTGACAAAACACCCAGCCACAAAACAGCCCAGCCGTTGTGCTGGGTGTTGCACTCTGGTGTTACACTCTGGGTGTTGCAACACGTGCGGCATTTGCACTCAGATGATTTTGGAGACATCGCCACCTGGGGTTCAGCTTTCCACTTGTGAACTTCACCAGTGCTGTATGATTTGCAAGAGTGTAAATGGGTGTTCTGTCCTAAGCTATCTGGGTATCGCTTGCTAAGTTATGGCAAAAGAAGATAAGTAGGGTGCCCCAAATAAGCGGGAGCCTTTGCAGGGTGCCAAGGGAAGCTTGTCCCCTGCCCTCGCTGGGAAGGGACGGGATTCTGGCTTCACCCTCCGGAGCCAGGCTAATACTGCTCATGGGAGTACGTGCAAACCTGTCCCTGTGCTGCAGCAAAGCCCCAGGACAAATGCCTATGACTCCTGCCAGGGACGTATTTGCCGACGCTTTCGGTGATGGAAGCGTGGATGCTTGTGCTGCGCCCTCAGTGGCCCCAGAAACACCGTTCTCTGAATATCAGCTGTGTTTCCAAGCACAGTTTCTGAGTCCATCCAGAAGTGGGCAGTGGTGTATGCGTTGTCTTCATGCCTCTTACTCGTGGATGCTTTTTATGTGAAGAAACTGTTAGGGTGTTGAGACTTCTCTATGATTCCCTTTAATTTCCTCTGTTTCCAGATATAGGGTTTTTTTTTGTTTGTTTGTTTGCAGTAGCTCTACCACCTTTACTCTTCAGTATCTGAAATATCCAATCTGATGTTAACTGACCAGCTCCTTATGCTCACAGACACAATAAGTCCATCAACACCTGG